GAAAACATGCTGTAAAACAAAAAAACACAACCTATGAAAGTTAAGTGAGGAAATCAAATCATTTTCGCCGCGGCTGTCACCATAGGCGGATTTACAGAAAAACGATCTCGGATATCGAGGTCTCAGAAAGAACCGACGTTTGGCCAGCCTCTTCGTGACGATGGATGGGGAACGCCCGTCCAAGCAGACAGGGTGGATAAGAGCAACCATAAGGCCAACTGAAAATCTATCTTAAGGACCTGAAAATTCTCCCTGGAATATGAGAAGTTCTCGTAAGCAATCAGCGGACGTGATGCATTGTAGTAAAGGCGGAAGTGTCAAAGTTTGAATGGAACTCGATAGTTGCTGCCGGACTAATAACGCAAGCATCAATCCCCATCATCATATTTTTCGTCAATGGAGGTTCAGAACACGAGTGGAAGCAAAGTTGCGAGTCCCGGGTTCTTACTGTAAAGCAGACAAAGGCGTAGGTATTGCTTATCGGCCGCCAGCTATCATGCGTTCACGGAACATGTAGATAAAAGACCGGTTGAGGGTAGATGAGCAGTCTGGCGAGCTGTATCGCGGGGCGACGACGTAGCTCTCGAATAACAGAGCACAAACGCGCAGTGCGGAAAGGTAAGCCATTGTACCAGATCGTTACCCACATCCTGGAGGAAGGCCGTGAATTCAACCTCACAGGCACGCGGACAATGGCACGAGTTACTAATAGGACAGGGCGATAATTACTGGAGGCCTGACTATCAGGCTCCAACTCAATCAACAGGCACGTTGATATACCACCTTGTTATCATGCCCTCCGCTCGTGCAGCCAAGAAGCGCGGCCCAGTTCCTGTTCAAGGACGCACGCCGACACGACAAGGTAAGACGACGTAAGCGTGGGTTCAACCAATCACGAATGTTACCCCCTCCACCCCACCCTGCCCCCATTTTTTTGCAGCTGGACTGCAAAACACGCTGTACTCCCATTGTCTCTGAGGATGGCCCCCGTACGAGTCTGCAAGCTCAAACTAATATAAGTGCTGTCCCTGTAATTGCGCCTTTGTCTTCTTTGCAACATAGCAGCCTCGTTGGACATCCCTGGAGCTAATACAATGCCAACGCGATCAACCGGTCTCTCGCGTCATAAAAAACACCCCATCACCAGCGTCGCTAGTAAGGCCATCCTTCCCATCCTGCCCCCAACCGGCGATGTGGACTTCATTCCAATCTGTCCCTATTGTGACCGCACTTTTGAATCACGCGTCGGCCTTTTTGAGGTTCGGTGCCGA